CTCGGGTCACCAGAACGCCACTTCATTCACTATTCTCTGCTGAAGACTCCTGGGAAACCGACACTTCTGGGACTGTCATTACCCATGTCCCCTGCAGTGTTCACTGGTTCATTCCACTGACCTCCATGTCATAACAGGAGAACATTGATGGTGTAAGAGAAGCACTAGGAACCAGTAAGCGCTTCGGCAACACAGCAGATTAAAGGAGAACTATGAGGTGAGTGCTTTTCACTCACCTCATAGTTCTAGCCGACCTGTGACAATGAGACGGTCACAGGTCGGCTCAGTAGATCGGGAAGTGAGCGAACACATACCGGCGTCCGCTCACCTCTCGATCCTGTCACGGCTCTCTGCCGTGACAGGGGAGGGGCTGGATTCCCCCCTCCCCGCTCCGCCAGCGCTGACTGGCGGAACGGACGGGGGAGGGTACAGCTGGCTCTGCCTCCAGATAGGCAGAGCCAGCTGTCAGTCACGCAGCTGGGCGTATCCCGGCACAATTGTCGGGATCCGCTTCAGCGTCCCAGTATACCGCGAGCAGCAGCTCGCGGTATACTGCGGCGTCTAGTATACCGCGAGCAGCAGCTCGCGGTATACTGAGCCTAGGGTGACGGGAGGACGCTAGTTTGTGTCCTCCCGTTACCCTCCCGTTCGGTAAAGACTTAACCCCATAGTTCTCCTTTAAATATCTGAAGTTTTATTTTCTTATCAGACTTCAGTGAAAGGAGCTGCATTCTGGCAGTGCGGGAAAGGTAAATATTTAGGCTGGTCACATACACTGAGGTGAATTTATCAAAACTGGAGCAGACAAAATCTGGAGCAGTTGTCTATGGCAACCAATCAGCTTCTCTCTTCAGTTTGTTCAGTTAAGATTTGAAAATGAAGGAGAGATGCTGATTGGTTGCCATGCACAGCTGCTCCAGATTTTGTCTGCCCCAGTGTTGATCAATTCCCCCCACTTTGAATTCAATAGATTCCTTCATCTACGCTACAGTAAAGAGCATGATGGAGGGAATCTCCCATGCTGGCTATGGTATTTAGACAGCTAACACCCATGGCTGTCAGAATACCCAAATAGTGACTCCATTTGATTGGACGCAGTTCCGTTTCGACTGACATTTTTCCTCCCACTTGAGTCTATTTATGAATCAGTCAAGCTGAGTGGTGTTGACAGGCCCACTCAGCTGGAATTTTGGTTGATTCAGTAGTAAATGGCTGAAATTCAAGCTGTGTATGGCTAGATTTTCTAGCTTTAGGGGTCATTCACAGTAGTCTGCACACTAAAACTCTCAGTATGCGGGCTAGTGTATGTCTGAGGCAAGGCGGGAGCGTGCATGATTAACTGTTTCAGCACATCACACTGTTTTCTATTTGTACCTTTTATTTGGTGTGTACAAAGTATACACACCATTCAGGTCCCTGAACAGCAGCGCGGTGTGCTGCGCTGACCTGTGGTGCAACAGTGTCCTGAACTTTTCACAGTGCACCCTATATCACCGCCATGTTTTGGTTTCAATTGTTTTCTATGTGCCCTAGTGGTGACTGTCATAGTTAAGTTGCTGAAAAACATTAGTCATGGCTTATGGTGTGAACGTGACCTAAGGCCTCATTTACATGGATGTTCACATCTGCCTAGGTTGCAGAAGCCTGCGCCCTGGGAAGGACAGGTGCTGTGTGTAGCCTGTCTTTGTCCAAGGGCATGCATCTGTACCTGTACAGATGTGCAAGTTTGCAAGTTTGGGTTGGCATATGATACAGCTGCATCCTGTCGTAGAGATGTACAGGTAGATGCACACAGTTACATGCAGGACCTGTCCCTCCCGGACACAGACTTTTGGACGTGGATGCTGTACAGATGTGCATATGCGTGTGAATGAGGCCTTATCGTGCATGCTGGTGTGGTGTGTGAGGCCGGTGGCATGATGTGCTGATTCATTGAATCACATGGTTTACTTTATTTCTGTAACTTTACTGACAGCGTACATAGTCTACACTCCATGCAGGTCTTTGCACAGCGGCGTGGTGTACTGCAGTGAACTCTGGTGCCATCCAGTGTACTGCAGGAAAAACACAGCATGTAAGCATTTTTCTACACCAAACCGGAGTTGTGGACATAGAAAACAGTTCTCTTCTACGGTATGTGCCTTATAGGTGACCTGTTTTTATTGTGCATATAAATGCAGGTCACTGCTATAGTGTTAACATAACATTAGGCCTCTCCTTGGTTAGCATTGCAGCCATACAAATTGCTGCGCTTCATGATGAGACGAAAATGTGGAAGCATGTTGCTTTTCATGGGTGTGGGCAGGAGTGTAAAATCTTCCCTGGTATAAAAAAAAAACAGGCATTCAAGAGGCAGCAGTATCACTTTCTGAACATCTGCAAGCCGCAGCTCTACTGCCCTCTCAGGCTACATTCACACCTACAAGAAAAAAGATCCTTGCTGCACTGCTTACCGGGATTCCCATATGGATACGCAAGCGGCTGCTTGAAATGACTGCCGATGGTGCTGCCAACATCTAGATAATGGAAGAATGTCATCAGCACACCAGAGCGATCATTACAGCAAATAAGCGTCCATTTATTGACGTATGCTGTCTCTCATTTGCAAGCCCTTTCTCTGAGCCTGATGAAGGGGACCCTGTGTGTCCCCGAAAGCACAGGCAAATTAAAGACAGCATATGTCAATAAATGAACACTTATTTGCTGTAATCATCAGTCTGGTGTGCTCGTGATATTCGTTGATGGACAGAAACGCACACATAAATGTGCAACACTCTTGTGTTGTGCGTTTGCAGGCATTTCCATTGAAGTCTATGGGGCCAAACGTGCTGTAATCTGACAAGAAAAGAAGCTCATGTCGTTTTTCCAGCATTGAGCGTTTTACAGCTCGGATCAAAACGCTCAGGTGTGAATAGGGGCCATTGAACTGAAAGAGAGTTCTGTTGTGCTTAGCATTCAAAACGCCTGGGTGTGAACAGGGGATAAAAAGTGATCTGCGGTTTAGTCCGCCGCTGATGTGAAGAAAGCTTTACTCTCCTCTTTACCTGAATTGCATTCAGTTCCTTATCCAAGTGCTGCGTAGCTGTTCTGCAGCAGCTTCACTGAATGCTTCGGCTGCACAGTTCTAAGCAAAATGGAGGAAGATTCCAGGGGGAAAACTGAGAGCCATGGCATATTTGATGTGGCTATGAATGAAATGGATGTTTCCTTATCCAGGCATCCCAACCTGAAAAAAATCATTTCAAGGAGGTGCCCTCTCCCCCGCCATCCGCGGGGATGGGGGAGAGAGCACCTCCCTAAACTGATAGCAGATAGCAGAGGAGCTAATGCTTCCCTTCCTATGTGCTGTTTTTTTTTTTATCTGATAGCTCCCGCTGTCAGAATAAAAAAAAAACAGACAGCATTGGAATGAATAGCTAGATTGCCATTGGCTATTTCCATTTGCAATAGCCAATAGCAAGCTGGCTATTGCACCCGCTCTCTGCTGCTGCCAGTCAACAGAGGAGTACCTGATGGAGAAATTCAGGTCCATCTCTGCTGATTGACAGAGGGAGCCGCTATCTTATAGCAGGAGACTCCCGGAACGTCCAGGAGAGTTGAGATGTCTGCATTATCTGAGGAAGAGATAGAAATGAATATATTCATATGGTAGCAACAATTAAGTTATCAGCTCACCGTTGCAATAAAAGAGTATTTTGAACATACTGCCTCGTTATTTAGACACCCATTTTCGTTCACACTCGTCACCAAAACATTAAGGGGGTTATTCACTAGAGCCGAAGGTTCCAGCCATAGCTTTGGCTGATCCTTCGACCGCTGGAGCCCTTTGGCTCAGTCGAATTGAAGGGCCCGTACAGTAGCCGAAGGCGGCTGAGCTGCTCAGCCAAGCTGAAGGCATGTGCTTCGGCTCGACTGAGCCGAAGTGACAGCCGAAGCGGGGAGAACGGTCTGCCAAAGGGCCGGCCGTTCTCCCCACAAATGACATCTGGGCAAAGCGAGCCGTGATCTCATGGCTCGCTCCACCCAGTTGTAATGACAGATCAGCGTCCCCAAATGACCTGGGGACGCTGATCTGTCATTGAACAATAACAACTGGGCGGAGCCGGCCGTGACGTCTGACTCTTTTCACTGATTTTCTATTCTGCTCGGTACCATGGAAACACCAAGCAGAATAGCTAAGCTGAATGCCCACTCGGCTGCATTTAGCTATTCACTCACTGCCGTTTGGCTCCTATAAGAATAGGGGCGAACGGCAGCGAGTGAGCTGCCGGAGCTTTGGCTCAGCGATCCAGATGTTGGATCGGCTGATTGGAACTCCTTCTGCACTTCGGCTCAGCCGAACATGCAGAGCATGTTCGGCTGACCGAAGGCAGCCAATGTACAGCTGATTTTAGCCGATGTACGGTTGAAATCAGCCGTACAAGACTGAAGTGAATAGCCAGTGTTGGGCTCACTTCACTTCGGCTGGGTTATTCGTTCGGCTGCCTTCGGCAGCTTTGTGAATAACCCTGTAATTTGTAGGTTTCCACACTGAATTATGATTTGCTCCATCAGGGCTACTACTAGGCTGACATCACACTCAGCTCTCTGCAGCCACATTCACTTCCGCAACCCGAAACACAGCAGTCAAAACCCGGACTGTCCGGGTTAATCCTGGACAGGTGGCAAACCTATGAACTAATCCTTTAACCCGCCCCAAGTATGCCTGTTTGGATGTTATAAATAATGACAAGTTCCCTTTAACTGCCTCCGGGCCGGCCGAAGTAGAAAAACGGCCGGCCTGGAGCTCTCTAGATCTGAGCGGGCGTCTCTAGACGTCCGCTCAGACACGCCCCCTCGCGCGCGCCGCATGATATAAGCTACTTGCTGAAAGCTTTGGCAATCCTCATAAAAAGCTTTTTTAGCTAGCGGGAAGCAGCTCTGTGTATTACACAAAGGCATATTTCCAGCATCCTGTGAGCATATGAAGGGAGCGCTACCTCCAGCACAAGATAGACAACACGCATTTCCGGCGTTCACAGGAGGTCGGCGCTCTCCCTGCCTCGTGCTATGGCCGCGCTCTCTGTCAAGGTTGGTGACGACACTTGTTTGTGTGTTGTTTGAGCGTTCCATTCCTGAGAGGGAAGTGTCAGGAATAGTAGTGTGTGTTCATGTATGTACCAGTGAGAGGGTAGCATCCTGGAAGTGAGCCAGTCTGCCCTGCTGTCACACTGACACTGCGTCTCCTCGGATGTGCCGCATTCCATTCTGCTGACTAAGCACGCTTCTCATCTCCTTACCGTACCGATCTTTATTTAACGTTCTCTATGTTAGCTGAAATGCACATTTAACCTATAGAGCAGAGATGTAGCACATATTTTATCAAGTGCTTTGCAAAAGTATTCTCATTCTGCACAAAAGGGAAGTGACTGGAAAGCAAACAGCGACCAGTTTCTAGCATTTATTTTCAAAACTTAACGGAAGAAGCGGAGGAGAGAAGCTGATTACAATGCACAGCTGCTGTAGATTCTGTCTGTTTTAGTGTAGCATAGGGAGTGTCTTGTGGTGTCTTCATTGCTGGGGGGATCACGTTGTCCTGTTTTAAAACACAAGGATTCACATTGCTTGCATTTCATATTCATTAAAGAACTATTGGGAGAGTAAAAAAAACTCTTCCCAATAGTTTGAGCTGGTGTGTGACATCAGCTGTATGGAGATATCAGGGGTCTTAGACCCCCAATGTCACCTGGGGACCCCAAATAAGCTGATGAAGCAGAGATCTGCTTCTTCTGGCTACAACAGCGGATGAAATTGCAGAGTGACAACAGAAGTGGTGTAATGCACATCACTTCCGGGACCAGTGGATGGAGGGGAGTTTAGCAGCTGGGAGTGTGCTGATCTCCTTCTGATCGAAGAGGGCAGGTCCGCTTTGGTGGTCCCAGGCCCGCACGGGGGACAGCTTGTCCCCCACAGACCCACCACTCTCTAATTCTCAGCTTGTTCCCAACCGACCCATCACCCTGCAGTGCTCACCTTGTTTTCGGCCTGTCCCCCCAGAGACCTACCACTCTATAATTCTTGCCTTGTGTCTTACCTGTCCCACCACTCTGCAATTCTTGCCTTGTCTTTGGCCTGTCCCTCCAGAGACCCACCACTCTGCAATGCTCGCCTTGTCTCCTTCCTGTCCCCTACAGACCCACCACTCTACAATGCTCGCCTTGTCTCCCGCCGGTCCCCCTACAGACCCACCACTGTGCAGTGCACACCTTGTCTTTGGCCTGTCCCACCACTCTGCAGTGCTCACCTTGTCTTTGGCCTGTCCCACCACTCTGCAGTGTTCACCTTGTCTTTGGCCTGTTCCCCAGAGGCCCACCACTGTGCAATGCTCACCTTGTCTCCTTCCTGTCCCCTACAGACCCACCACTCTACAGTGCTCGCATTGTCTCCCGCCGGTCCCCCTACAGACCCACCACTGTGCAGTGCTAACCTTGCCTCCTTCCTGTCCCCCACAGACCCACCACTCTGCAGTGCACACCTTGTCTCCTGCCTGTCCCCCCACAGACCCACCACTGTGCAGTGCTAACCTTGTCTCCTTCCTGTCCCCTACAGACCCACCACTCTACAATGCTCGCCTTGTCTCCTGCCTGTCCCCCCACAGACCCACCACTGGGCAGTGCTAACCTTGTCTCCTTCCTGTCCCCCACAGACCCACCACTCTGCAGTGCACACCTTGTCTTTGGCCTGTCGCCCTCAGAACCACCACTCTGCAGTGCACACCTTGTCTTTGGCCTGTCCCCCCACAGACCCACCACTCTGCAGTGCACACCTTGTCTTTGGCCTGTCGCCCTCAGACCCACCACTCTGCAGTGTTCCTTTTGTGTCTAGAGGACAGGAATAAAGGGAAACCTCCACAATGGGAATCGTATAGTAAAGGAAAATACCCAACAGGGTCTGAAACCCTTCCCCACGCCATCCAAAAGGGAATAAATGCATTTGGGTATTAACCATTCCAGATATTTTTTCTACTATACAGTATACACATTTTGTGTGCAAGTGTTTATTCAAGTGTTTAAAAGAAGTGAAGCCAAACCTTCTTTTGGCATTCGTTTTCTCTTGGGTCAGAGGAGTACACTTACTAATGTACTCCTGTGACCCAACTCGGCATATAGTGGCCTACTAGAGCCATGCTGAAGCCACTATTCTCGGAATCCACCTGTCTGCCTCATTGACCGCTTACTCTACCTCTCTAGATCCAGAACCAGCTGGGACTGCCCCCTCCCCTGTCTGTCCCTTCAATGAGCACCAGAAGAACAGAGAAGGGAGGAATCAGTAGTTATGATCTCATTGCCCTTGGTATAAAGCCGGCTTGTGATTGCTGCAGTGTCACACTCCGACTCTCAGTATTACAAAGGTTACATTTTATTCTCAATACTTTTTTATTATTAAAAAGTTGTCTTTAATGAACAAAAACCTTTTGAACCTTTGTGAAAACCCCTTTTATGCTATTTGTCTCAATAACTGACTGCATCTGTAGCTATCACCGAATGTAAACATAATTGAATTGCGTTTGTTTTTTTTGAACAGGTTGGAATAATTGGTGGGTCAGGATTGGATGATCCAGATATTTTGGAAGGCAGAAGTGAGAAGTATGTTGATACACCGTTTGGCAAGGTATACATTTTTACTGCTCTAGTGATAATGGGGAGATAGATACTGTATATGCTAAAGGGTTCTGTCTTTTGTTAAATTTTGATTAAATGCTGTTGCTTTTTCACATTTGATCTTTACTGCAAAGTCCACTATACTGTCCTTTTCAATGTTCAGAAGAAAAAAAAATCAGAAATAAATTATCATGGATCCTGATCAGATCACAGACCGCCAATGATGCTGATCACTAGTTTGTGAACTGTCACTGTGCCACTCTCTCCTCTATTTTCCCAGTTACCTAGATTTTCCTAGGCAGGTAGAATTAGTTTCACCTTGATAACAATTAATATAGGTTAGTTCATAGGGTTATTATTATTCAATATATTTATGGTTATCCCTTTTGCAATGCCCAGCCCCCTCTTCCACTGTAAGTTAGCATTCTCTTTTTGAAGGTCCTCATTCAGGGAGGATATTATTGAAAGTATTTTTTTTAGGGCTGCGGAAATTAACGATTAATCGTTAATTTTTTTGATCGATCAAAATTCTTTTGATCTGTACTCACCTCTCCGCCGTCTTCCGGGTCTTCCGAGAGTTCCGTCGGATATTCGGTGACGTCAAGGACATCGACGTCACCGGACTCATCCCCCTTCCCCAAGTGGCTCCATCGGCTAACGTGGGGAAGGGGGGAGGAGTCCGGTGACGTTGATTATACTTTTTTTAAACAAAGGAGTCGCAGTGGAGTCACACACTAGTTGAATTGTGGCAGAGTCAGCAGGAGAAAATTCAGTTCGAGTAAGGCCAGCTTTACTCTACCTGACACACAAATCTCATCCTCTCCTCACAGCTGAAGCTACTGTAAATGAGAAGGAAGGTAAAAGGTGCCCATACACTGCACGATTCTCGTACGAGAATCGCGGGAAATCCCGCGATCGTACGAGAATCGTGCAGTGTGAATGAAGACGTGCGACCGTTTCTACTGTACGGTCGCACGTCTTTTGTCTGAGGAGCATGTTAGAAAACCAGCCGAGAATCGTACGGTTTTCGGCTGGTTTTTAGCATGCTCGGGAGACAAATGCCGAACGGGCCATACTTCAATACCAGTTTTTTTCAGAGTACTACCAATACAATATGGAATTGCAGCTCTTTATCCAGAGCTGCAGGAGGGAGAACCTTCCTCATTTCTACACAAGGGGATCCATAATACAAAAAGTTTTCCTGGAAACTCCGTTTAAATGCCCCTATAATAAGACCACTATTTCTGCTCCACGTTTAGGATGAGAGTTGCTAGTGTCATGTTTCAGAAAAGAAAAATACATTCTCTGCTCTGAGAACACTGAGTATTTCAATATGTCCTTCTCAAACTGAATTTTGAATGGGAAGGTCAGACTTTATTACAACTACATAAACAAAGTCTGTGTTGCACTGAAAAAACAGGAGACTTCTGTAGGTTCTTACCTCCACGAACAGCTTCTAATATTCAGCAGAAAATATTTAAAGATGCTTCAGGGAGAAGAAGCCTTGTTGGGGAGGTTAAAACCTTCCTGAGGTTCTCACAGGTTAATCACAGCAGCAGTCAGTTGAGAACCAGTTGAAGCAATTAATTGTGAAACTCTTTGCTTAATTACCATTTAATTCCAGTTGCATGACAGTAACATCACCCATGTAATGCAGGTTTTATCCTGTCCAAGTGTATTCAATTTGTGACCTCGATAAACAATTCTCTTTTTTTTATTTTATCTTCAAGCCATCTGATGCTTTGATCTTAGGAAAGATTAAGAATGTGGACTGTGTGTTACTTGCAAGGTAATTATAATGTAAATGGACCGGTTTTTTTCCCCATATATATTTTCTTTATTATGTTCCAGAATAAATCATTCAGGTTATAAAAATCCTTTCTTTCAAATATTTTCCTTTTTTTGTCAGGTAAATCAAAGATTTACTGCTTGCAACTTATAGGTGGCAAGTGCACATTTAGTTTTCCAGGTTTTTAGAATGCTGCTCTCCTGCAGTACTGTGAATATAGACCTGAACGGCAGGATAAAAAAAATTGTACACATATGTAGCTAAAGGAGTCTGAGGAAGTGCTCACACACCTTCTCTTCCTGGAGAAGCAGAGCACATCCTAACATTCAGTGTATTGCTTTGCAAACTCTGAAGCCTTGTTCACACCATGTCCGTTGAGCTGCGGTTTTCTGCACACTGCCTCAAATGTATGGCGTCAACAGGAAGCATAGAACACGTTTATCAAACAAACAATTCATCCCCACACAGCTACCTCCTCGTGTATCACTCCCCCCTCCCTTTTTAGACAGTAAGTAAGCCCTCATGGGCAGGGCCCTCCTTACCATCTTGTCCTGAATTGTACTGTAATTGTAATGTCTTCCTTATATTGTAAAGCGCTGCGCAAACTGTTGGCGCTGTATAAATTCTGTAAAATAGTAATTGTATGGTCATGTAAGGAGCACAGGTCACACACTGGATATTCATTCTATCCCTGTCCTCAGGATCAGCCTTATGTCAGCTGGACTATTAATAATCCATTTCTTACTACTTCTGTAATATATTAATAATAATTAAAAAAGAAATTAGTGGGCACGAATGGATTTAGCCAACAGACCACTATTGTTTCTCCTATCGCCCCCTCCTTCATACCACTGTAATACCATGATTTCCATAAAGTGACACTAAACTCAGGAGTTAGTTTTAAAACGCATTCAAGTACCCTAACTACTAACAAACATTTACAGGGTCCTTCATTGTTACAAACTGGCAGGGTCCTTCATTGTTACAAACTCCCGTGCAGATGATCCCGTGCGTTCATCTGCACAGGATCGCAAGGCACATTGTGCCTGCGGTCCGGTGCGATCAAAATAGTGCTTGCAGCATTATCGCATTGTGGCCGGGGGGCGTGGCTACGGTGCCATTCACTTCAATGGTCCACCACGCCCCCTCCTGCCACGCAAAAAAGTGAGCCGGCCACAATGCGACGCAGTGCGCTCTGGCCAGAATCAGGCCGGAACGCGCTGCATCTGGTGTGAACTAACCCTAAGGGTGGGGTCAAGCACCAGCTTTTTAATAAAGTCAGTGTTTGCATACACTGAGTGCTCTTTGTTTTGGCACACGCTGAAGAAAACCACAGCATCCACAGCCAAGCCCTTTTATTCAGATTTGGATAAAGTAGGCAGTGGTTAAAACCCCTGTCAATTTTATCTATTTGCTGTCACTGTCCCATCAAGGAAACTTCACCTTCAATTTGCCACCAGAACAGTTATCCCCCGTTATAAAGGTTTCCTCCTCTCCTTCAGTTCAGGTGATTACTGTAAAAGTTTGGATTCCCCCTCACTTTTTGCAAATAATGTAAGAAATAGTGGGCTACAATTCCTCCGTAGTGAAAACTGAAGGCAAGTACAAATCTTGCTGGAGTAATATCTGCCATCTGGACTGGGAAGGCCTTAAAAGCTTCAAGGAGAGGTAGAGCGTCACACCAAATCCAGTTGGCTTGCTGTGTGCCCAAAAATGTGCTCTCCAAAGAGTGTGTATTCTTAATATTAAAAGTATTTGAGCTGATTTTTGTTTTTTTCTTTCAGACATGGCAGGCAGCATACGATTTCTCCAACAAATGTTAACTTTCGTGCCAATATTTGGGCTCTGAAAATGGAAGGCTGCTCTCATATACTGGTGACCACAGCTTGTGGATCACTAAGAGAAGAAATTCAGCCCGGAGATATTGTTTTAATTGACCAGTTTATCGATAGGTAAGTGGAGAAACTTTTACTTTTGTGGGTTTTCTTTCAGAAGCTGGCATTTCTAGAATTCAGCAAATTGAGCAGTACTTTGTTGCCATAATTGTCATATTTTTCTGCTTTGTAAGACTAGCGTACCTGACTTCATATAACATACTATGATCCTAGCATTGCACAATTACTAAACTCTCAATTGTCAAAGTAAACACGTGAAGTGCCTAAGCTGGACATATAATTGAATTTCAGACACCCAGAGGTGCCTGAACATACTTGAACACTTCCTATAGAACACAGAGCACTCAGAAATGTCGGCTACAAAGTTGCTGCTTGGCCCCATCTATCTTCTATGACATTGCTGGACCAATACAGAGATTTGGGAAGAAGCGGAATTAAACACCAACTTCCTCGCTATAGTTGCTATTTGCATATTACTGTTCACCAGTTGTTTGGCCTCCCCAGGGTGCTCAAAAAACATCTGTGTTGTTTTTGGTGACTGCTTTTAATTTTTTACAGTAGTCACGGGTTGTTAAATGTTGTGTTTTTTCTTCTTCAAAAAGGGCAAAGTTAATCCTGCTGTATAGATTAGTCTCAGAATCTTGTGATGGATGGAATCCTGCCATTCCACAGCTCAAAAGATGAATTGTAGTGTGGTGAACATGACTTACTCTGTTACACGTAAAGTCTTGGCCTCAGGTGTTTTTGTTTTTTTTCTGTATGCACATGGGCGTGCAATGCTCTTCATTAATATCTAATTTTTATGAGCTAAATGCAGCAGTATTGTATTCGATGTGCCCAGCTACACAAAGATCAGTAATCTAGGGCTGCATTCTGCAGTGTAAAAAAGGTCCGCATTTTACACCTTACGCATGTAAGGTACAAATGTCCTAGCAATAAAGGAGGCTGCGTGGCTTAGCAAGAAATGCCTGTGTCCAGCAATGAAGGATTAAAGTGGCAGAAGCGCTGGTTTATGCTATATTCTGTGTGCATGTAAACGTTGCCACACATGTTACACACAAACATTCTTTCAGTGTACGGACAAGATTTTATACATCGATGCCAACAAGAGCCTACATAAAATGATAGACCCTTGTGCACGACGCCTTTAGTATATCACTCATGAAGCAGTTAATAAAATGCCATTTGTTATGCCCATTTCCCTGTTATAATTTCTGGCCACAATCGCTGTCTGCCAACCTGCCATATTGCTTTTTATGGAAACATACTGGAGTCAGTCACTATGATTTGTGTTATTGCATTTTAGAGTGTTCGCGTGTCCTTTTTTCCCCTTAAACAGAAATATACCTCGCCCATTCCCCTTTATGCACTTGCTACTTCTCTGCCTGCATTGTTTGTAAATATAGGGTGGGAGTTGGAGAAGGCAGCTGGGTCTGATCTTCTGCAGAAATCCTGGATTTCAGGAGCAGGGAGGAGTTACCATTACTTCATTTGAGTTTTTATGTACCTTTTTATCATGGAAGCATTATGTCACAGCATTAACCTTCTGTGATAGGACCTCTAAAATACTTACTACCGTATTTTTCCGTGTATAAGACGCTACTTTTTCATTAAAATGTTTACCTAAAAATAGAGGGGCGTCATATACACGGGGGCCGAGAGGAGAACCGCGGTTGCGAAAGTGCCGATACCACTGCAAACTACCGTAGCCTCGTGACTGAAACTTGCAGAGACAAGATAAGTTTTCCTCCAATCATAAATCTTTTGTACCTGACATCAGCTGTTGCTGGGAAGAGTGGCTCTGTAATCCGCTCTCCCGACCACCGGCTGACGTCGGGTACAAAAGATTTATGATTGGAGGAAAACTGTTATCTTGTCTTTGTAATCCGATCATAAATCTTTTGTACCTGATGTCAGCCGGCGCTCGAGAGCGTGTAGCCAGTGCCCGGAACTGTAATGTCTGAGCATAACGTGATTGAGGTCAGTGTGATGCATTATACCATTTAAAATATTGATTTCGGAATTTGGGGTAAGAAAAGTTGGGAGCGTCTTATACATAGGGGTATCTTATAGACGGAAAAATACGGTATATCATCGTATTTAATAAGCAATGATGAGAGCATCGGTGACGTGCAGAAACCTAGAGCAACCATTTTTGGGGGGGTTAGGTCATTGAAACATGATTCTAGTCACTATGGTTTGTATACTTTACTCCCTTCCTTAATAAATAAGTCTACCAACCTGTTTACTGCCCCTGAAGCCCAAGATGTCCAGTATTCAAATATCCCTTGATCAATGCATTTGCATTGCCTAGTGCTTAATCTTTACCAGTGCCTCTCTATCTATCTGTATGTATGTACATACTTTTTTGTAATTAGTCCAGAGACATTTCTCTGTGGTTTAGTTGTTGCTCAAGTGCGTTGATTTTGCAGTGAAGTAAGTGAATAGTTCCTGAATCGTGTGAGAAATGTAAGGGAATGGCTTACAAAGCAGTGGTATGAGCATACTGCCACTTTAATAACTGAAATGTCTGGCGCTTTTATGAAGCACCTCATTGTACTTTATGTGCTTGCTTCTTTTTAATGAATGATAAACAAAACTGATGGGAATCACATGTTGAAATCATGTAATGGATAATTGAACCTTCTTTTTGGTATCTTTTCCAGTCTTGAAGTAGGGCACTGTAATATGGAGGGAAAAACCTTGAAGAGAAAACGGTGCTAAATAGCAAGCCACAGACCAGCAGCAAAGCAAGATAAGGGGATAAAATAATATTTTTATGTTTTAATAGCCCAAGTTCTAGATGTTAATCATATATATTGGCCAGACCAATTTTGCAATTGTTTTACTTTTTTCATTTTTTTTTACTATTAGAGTTTGTAAAGGACCCCCCTAAACCATATACTTTCTAAAATACACAAGACTGTTAAAGTTTAAATTGTGCATTTTTGCAAAACGGTGAAACACAAAAATGTAAGCACTCGTGCAATAGACGTCTGTAAGCCTTGAGTGTAAAATCTTGGGGTATTTACTTGCTTGGGGAGCTGCAGGTGGCACGTAAAGCCAGCTTTGAGGTGAATGGCTGTACGCGGCCATGGATGAGTAAACGCCGATGCTTTGTGCATTGATGTATACAGGTGCCTGCGCATATGATATATTCCCTGAACACGGCTGTTCTGCTGTGCATAGAGTACAATGAATGTAATGTAAAGTAGAAAAAAAAATCAAGCACTACGGTGTGTTGTTACAATGCGCTGCAGAACGCACTCCAGTGCTTGTCAGCCTTTGATAAATAGCTATTCATTTATTCAGCAGAGTCAGGGGGTCCTATTCTACTATAGGGTCATGAGTTTGTAGCAAAAGGGAATGCAAAGGATGCAAGGCATACTGAACTGGTTAGCTGGAAACGTCTCTATTCTGACATAAACCGTATGCCTTTGGCAGGGAGGTAAGTTTAGCTCACTCATATTAGTTGTTTTGGATACAGTGGGGACCTCTGTTACGGTTTTATCTCCATGTATTGTGTTCTTTAGGCCGGCAAGTGGGGATAGTGCACAGCTGGAAAGGAGTCGTCAGTCAAACTCCTTAAGATGCTCTGTCCCTATCACAGAGCTTCTAACCCTTTCCCACTCTGTGAAACAAAAAGTGCTGTGTGACGATGTACTTTGAAAAGGATTTCATTATGTAAAACAAGTGTCCAGTTTAATTCAGTCAAGTTCACCTTAGTTGCACATTGTTACGCTTTAACCAGAAGGTGAAGTAATGCTTGCTAACCACTAGAGGTCACCATTGCTGAATACTACTTTAACCCCTTCATGACTGAGGCCCTTTTTTCAATTTTTGCACCCATGTTATATTCCACATATGGCTAACAGCTGAAGTTGCAGCAGTTACAGTATGTTGGCAAGGTGAACTTCTATCCTGTAAACTGCATTTAACCACTGACCTCATGGATTATTTTTAAAAAGTGGGTTATTGGAAGTTTAAAAATCTATCAATACTAAAAATTTCAGCCAGATGTATAATATAGTTTCTAAAAGGTCAAGCTTACCCTAAGATCAAAGTACACAGATGTTCTTACACTTTTTTTTTTTTTTTTGACCCATTCACACTATGGCGGTCTACTGTGACTGCATTTCATTTGAATGGGCTGTCGAACCAAAAAAAAATGATCAAGCACTGCTTTTACAGCGTAGGGCCCCGCAACACACGGTAGTGCGCTACTGTGAGCTTTGGTAAACTGCAACACCAACACTCATAAAGTGCATTTTTCCGGCATTGCTGTGGTTTTGTGTAGAGGTGCCATCTTGGTGCTGGATCAGTAACAAAGTAAATACTCTTCTGGCAGAGCTGGTCAGGCAGGTAATAGTGTTTGCAATCTGTACTGTGCAATGTAACGGGTCTATATGCCTCCCTATGTTAATTATGATGCCGCCATAATACTGATTACCCCATTACTGGACCTGCATAAAGGCTTTCCTGTGTGGCTGTGTGTCATGTAGCAGTGTGTGTCAGTCTGTATGTAACTGCTTTAGTGTATGTATGTATGTGTGTCTCACACACACACACACACACACACACACACACACACACACACACACACATAATGATTTGATCCCCTGCAGACATTTACACAGAAATGAAAGGTCTATAATTTATCATAGGTGTATTTTAAAGGATAGATACAGAATGTCAACCAAAAATCCTGAAAAAACACATGATACAAATGTAATAAATTGAGTTGCAGTTCAGCGAGTAAAATAAGTATTTGATCCCCAAGCAAAACATGACTTAGTACTTGGTGGATAAACCCTTGTCGGCAAGTACAGAGGTAAGATGTTTCTTGTAGTTAGTTTCCAGGTTTGCACACCTCTCAGGAGGGATTTTGGTTCACTCTTCTTTACAGATCTTCTCTAAATCCTTAAGGTTTCTTGACTGTCGCTTCGCAATTCGAAGTTTCAGCTCCCTCCATAAATTGTCTATAGGATTAAGGTCTGGAGACTGGCTAGGCCACTCCATGACCTTAATGTGCTTCTTCTTGAGCCGCTGCTTTGGTGGTATGTTTTGGGTCATTGTCATGCTCAAAGACCCATCCATGACCTGTCTTCTGGCTAAGGGAAGGAGGTTCTCATCCAATACATGGCCCAGTCCATTGGCCACTCAATGCGGCAAAGTCAGCCTGTACCTTTTTAACAGAGAAAAAGCCCCAAAGCATAATGTTTCCACCTCTGTGCTTGACTGTAGGGATGGTGTTCTTAGGGTCATAGTCAGCAATTTTCTTCCTCCAAACACGGCAAGCCGAGTTAATGCCAAAGAGCTCAATTTTGGTCTCATCTGACCGCAGCACTTTCTCCCAATCCTTCTCTGAATCATTTAGATGTTAATTGGCAAACTTCAGACGGGTCTGTACATGTTCCTCCTTGAGGAGGGGGACCTTGCGGGCACTGCAGGATCTCAAACCATGGCAGTGTATTGTGTTACCAATGGTTTGTTTGGAGGCAATGGTCCCAACTGGTCGTTGGGAGCACCTTCTTAAATTGACAGGACTCATCTGTGTACCACATAGCCGGTCTGTGGGAGCCAGAATTGTTGGTTGGTGGGGGATCAAATACTCACTAAACTGCAACTCAATTTATAACATTTTGTATCGTGTGTGTGTGTGTGTGTGTGTAAATAACCAACATGCCAAGCTTAAAATGTTGTGCGCCAAACAGTGACAAAATACGGTACCCTAAATTGTCCCTAGGTTAAAAGCCCCTACAGTTTAGAGTTAATCATGAATTTTGGCCCTAGAATTATTTATATCACTCTGGCGCATGCGCTGATACCTAACGTGTGTGTAGCACACTCAATATTTTCATACGTAGGCGCCCCCGACGTGTGTTTGTACTACTATGCGTGTGAGGGACTTTGAGGGGGCTCCCAAGCCCCCTATGTGATAGCATATTAGGTGGTGACAGGTTCTCTTTGTGGTGACATTAGGGGTCTATTAGACCCCTAGTGTCACCTTTCCACTGCAAAGAAGCTATTCAAGCACAGAAGGACAGCCAAGGAACTGGAAGTGATGCAATCAACTTCACTTCCAGCTCCATTCAGCAGGGAGAACGGTGAAAGGGTATTTGCCAGTCTTTCTCAGTTATAGCCGCCAGGAGTCTGTTTAGAGGGGCCCACTGGCACTGAAAGGGTTAATGACAGATGCAATGTAATTGACCCCATGTTTGTTGGTGTCTGAGTGTCATAATATATATAATCTATCTCTTTGTATAGAATTTTTTTTTTTAACCCTACATTGATATTTACATGAAACTGATTTTTTACATGCTAAAATACATTTCATATTACTAATTACACAAGGCTATATATTTAAGTTGAAATGTTTGTACTGTATCATTGTAACCCTTGTACAGGAACTTATTTTTTCTGTTCTTTAGTAAGCAAGAGTTGATCATCATTATGCCACTATGTTTCCTCTGTCTGAAGCATGTCTGGACTTGTCTCTTCTGTTAAAATCAAAAGACAAGCCAGTTCCAGGGAGGGGATGATATTGCTGTGTCAGCTATCTCCTAAAGGAGTAATGTTTGAAAGAGCAAGCTTGGCTTTTATTTGGCACTCGATTGGTGCCTGGAGCTTTAACGCTTTAAGCTCAATTTACATAAACATTACCCAGAACATATTTTCACTACCGCGTGTTTGCATTTCTATGATCAAAAAAATAAATTCTTTAAATTCACTGACAGTATTGCGTCATGTATCAGGTGATTTTTTCCCGTGCATTTATGTTGTAGGTATTTTGCCTGTAAAAGCTAGATCAGAGATGATCACATGGGTTAAGAATTTAAAAAGAAATTACTCTTCCAGTGGAGCTACTCTGCACTGCAAGGGTTAAGTGCTCATTTCCTCTGGGGGCGAAAACAAAGCAGATATACTCACCTTATCCTTGGTCCTGCAGTCCCCTAGCATCCTCTTGTCTAATGCAAGTCAATGGACCTACATTAGATGTGATGACGTCAACGGTCCTTAGACTGCCAGAGGCTTTGGGGACTAATCTAGCAGTCCGGAGGGACTGAGGATCAGGTGAGTAATACAGCTTTGAGTGCATTAGACAAGATAAGCACTTAAAGTTATATTACACTCCTCAAACATATTATTTTCAATAATGAATTCAGGGCAAATAAATATACATTACCCAGCAAAGTATTCCAAACAACTACTCTAACTCTCTCAGCTCGGCTTCTCTGCCCTTGTAATCTTGTACCAGACAGGCAGTAGCTGTCCATCTACTAGCTTAGAGAAGGGAGGAGGAGCAGGGGATTATCCAGCTTTGCTGTCTGTTTGTGGAGACACGCACAGCTTACTAGCGCACAGAAGGGTGGCTCTATAGGATCGTGCAAGGGAAAGGAGCCACCCTAAAACAGGATATCAGGATCAGTGCTCAGCGGACCAGCTGATTCTTCAGAAGGCTAAAACTTATAAACAATAAGAAGCACCATCCATTGTAAGTGATTTAATCAGTATTTGAAAAAGCTTGAAAACCTTTTGACCTTAATATCACTTTAACCCTTGCAGTGCAGGGGTAGCCCCACTGTAAGGGGTGATATAGATATATATACTGCTCAAAAAAATTAAAAGAACACTTTGAATACACATCAGATCTCAATGGGGAAAAATATCATGGTGGATAGCTGCTGTATACTGGGCTGGGTAATGTGTTAGGAACGAAAGGATGCCACATCGTTTGATCATTTTTCATTTCCATCAACCTACAGAGGGCTGAATTCAAAGACACCCCCAAAAATCAAAGCGAACAAATGATGCAGCAGTCTAGTCCATTGAGTCCATTGTGCTGAAATTTCATTGCAGCAACTGAAAATGGTACTCATTAGTTTGTATGGCCCCTGCGTGCTTGTACAAAGTCGGAGCATGCTCCTAATGAGACGACGGATGGTGTCCTGGGGTATCTCCTCCCAGATCTGGACCAGGGCATCACTGAGCTACTGAACAGACTGAGGTGCAACCTGGTAGCGTCAGATGGACTGAGACATAATGTCCCAGAGTTGTTCTATTGGAGTCAGGTCAAGGGAGCGTGGGGGCCATTCAATGCCATCAATTCCTTCATCTGCTACTTAACTGACCTGATCGATATCCCAGGAGTTTCATTGACTTGATGCTAGACTCTGATTTAAAAAGTGTTCCTTTAATATTTTTGAGGTGTGTGTGTATATGTATGTATGCGTTATTTATTTCTATATATATATATATGTGTGTGTGTGTGTGTGTGTGTGTGTATATATATTTTATATATAAATAATATTAGGGCTGGTACTGATTTAAAATTTTCGTGTTCGATTTAATCAAATTTTTCGGGTTTTTTTCCGATTTAATTTCAATTATAACGCACATACAGATCCAACTACATTGGCCTATACACATACAGCACAGCAATGAAGCGGTCGCAGAACTCTAAGTTCTCAGTGTCGACAAATCACCAGCCCAAGTGGCTCCGTCGGCTAACGAAGGGAAGGCGGGAGGAGTCCGCTGACGTCACGGACACCGACGTCACCGGACTCCTCCCCCCTTCCCTTAGCCGACGGAGCCACTTAAACGTCGCAGTGAGAGCAATCATTTTAGGGCCATCAATCACTGATAACACTAAACTGATGAGCGGTAACAGCTTTTAAAGCGTCGCCTATGGCCAATTTTGGGTATTATAGTTTTTTGAGGTTTCGCGCGCACGTAATTTTAAGGCTTGACATGTTTGGTGTCTTTTTACCCGACGTGACCCCGTCTTTTATATTTTACCAAAAAATTGGGTAATATTAAATGTTTTATCATTTAATATAGGGGAAACTGGGTTTTTTTCTTTAAATTTCGGTAATTTTTTCTTTAATATAGTAAAAAATAAAACCCCCAGTGGTGAATAAATACCACCAAAAGAAAGCTCCAACCTGCCCCAAAAAAGGGTATAAAATTCATTTCAGTACAGTGCTGCATGACGGAATAAATGTCAGTCAAAGTACCGCAGCGCTGAATACTGAAAAATGGCCTGGATGGGAAGGGGGTTTACCACCGCGGATATCAACTGGTTAAAGAAACTGGTCACTGGGAGTTGGCTATTGAAATGGAAACAAATAAGCACTTTGGAAGATAAAATAATGACTTCTGAGAAAACAAGGTTTTCACTTATGAATGAAATAGTTGGTTGCATGGTATGGGAATTTATAAGTGATATTTGTAAATTCAACATATTTAGGAGAAAATGATCATGGTATAAAATAATGAAGGGAATTTAAATTTTGGTGAACCTTGAGCCTTATGTATGTCTTAAAGATGTGTTAATTTATTCTTCTTCTGATTACAGGACTACCAAGAGAGAGCAGACATTTTATGATGGAGCACACTGTTTGGCAGGCGTTTGTCACATCCCTATGGCTGAGCCATTTTGCAGTAAGACTAGAGAGGTGAGTAAAACTATGTAAGGAGTATTGTGCATCCTATTGATAGTAGAGGAAGGAGCTAGGTTCATATATAATTCTGATCAGCAAAAGATGAAATGCTGTAGCTTCTATTAATAAAAATCATGGCTCTGTGTTTTTCCCAAGTCATCTTCCAGGGCAGCATCTGAGAGAGAGAATCCACCCACCCAAACAGGAAACACATCATCCACAATTAAAATAAAAGGGGCGGTACAGCCCCACCACAGTTTTTTTTGTTTCCTCCGGCCTAACAGGAGCAGCGTAACCGTTTGTTATTTTCTCTATAGGCCTGCATGCTAGTTGCAGGGGCCTCCCAGTGTGTGCTCCCCCATGAATCAGGGACAGTGGACCTGGGGGGTTGCATGCCTGGGCTTGTCCGAGGATTAACCTTCAGGTTATTCTATTATGGGACCCTCCTCCCCATCTATCCCTGAGGTTTCTTATCCGCCTTGAGGAAAAGCAACCATCCCCGGGTGCATATCGGCTCTAGCAGAGCTTTCCCTTACTCACATTTGGTTCGGCTCAGAGTTCTCCTCTGCCTTGCCTTGAATGGGGCGGTTTGCCATCCATGCTCCCTATGTGTGCTGCCATGTTGTGGATATTCATATCCTGTAGCATCCAGGGCCTCCTTGAATGGACAGCTATGCGATAGAGTGGTGAGTACCCCTGGCACCAGCATCCACAGATGCCAGGGAGGGAGTGCAACGGGCGAGGGACGGAGCCACAAGCAGTCATGAACATGAGGTTTTCCACAAGGCTTCCTCTGGTTGGCAGTGCTAAACCATGCAGCCTGATTTCTGCTGTGTCATTCACGGACACTAATGGCTCCAAAGGAAGGTTGGAGGCTTAGAGGGAAGTCTCCTTCCTCCTACCCCCCCATTCTGTGGTCAGGGCACAGTGGGGGGGGGGGCCTTGGGAGGTGATCCTCCTTTTGGGTGTTGGTTGCTGAGGGTTGTGGTGCCTCTTAACACACGTTTTGTATGTGTGATATGTGGCTAGTTGGAGGCATGAGCTGCAGTGCAAACACCTTTTCAATCTGCAAGCAGCAACCCCCGACAATAGGCAACCGAATTACTCCTTCCTACACTACTGGGGTTAGTGTTACGCAGGAGTATTGGGGATTTTCCCCAATTTCACGCTTTTGGCAATCTCCTTTTTGTGTTGGAACATATATAAGGAGAGTCATCAGCCAAGGGCAAGGCAAACCTAGGCCGGTAAATGTTTTCCAGACTCCTTTTGCAAATAAACATTGGTGTGTCCATAAGCACTAGAGGTTTATTTCACACCAATTTTAGGTGCATGCTCTGGTTGTTTCCAGATGGTTCACAAGGAGAGACTGTGCATGATGATCAAAACTTGATAGTGCTGCAGATGTATTGTGCCTCAGGGCTAAAACGTTTTTTGTTGGTGTTGGCAACTCTGATTTACCACCTGGCTGTGAGCTCATAAGCTGAAGGGCTATCATTGCTCTCACCTGAGCGGGGGCTGCGGAATGTTCCTTCAGCCCTAATTAAGGGAACTTCCTTTTACTTGCCTGTTAGAGCATGGAAGCCTAACGACGCAAATCCCACAGAAGGGTAGATGCTGGATGAGGTTACTTTATCTTCAAGGCTTTACTTCCTTGGCAGATATGAACAGCCTCTAAAGCTTTTATTCTACTTCACTCTCTCCTATATGTGTATATATGGTTAAGTCTGCCTCTCTATATAAGAGCCAGCATCTATCTTTTTCAGTGGTGAGGATTATTTTCTTCCAGTCTACAACTGCTCACAGGCTGAGCCGATCCATTCATAGTATCGGCCTAGGTGTGTCTGCCTCACAGGTGTGGGGAGGCTTTTCTCTGGTCTACATCTCTTGCACAGTTTGATGCATATATTGGTAGACGAGCACCTGTAAGCCCTTGCATGACTATGCTGTCTGCAAACTATCCCATTTACCTCTTTATGGAGGAACTTCACTGGGTTTAAAGGAGAACTATGGGATCAGTGTTTTTCCCCATAGTTCTCCTTGGGGTAACGGGAGGACACAAACTAGCATCCTCCCGTTACCCTAAGCTCAGTATACCGCGAGCTACAGCTCGCGGTTTACTGATGCCACGAAGGTACGGAATACCCGATTTACCACTTTATTGGAAGCATTTTGGGTTACGATGTAGTATGACTCTCAGCATCTACATTTCATCACAGTTCGTTCTCTATGGACTGTGTAACCATACTTCTACGGAACGACCAGTTTTACTCTGTATCACTGGTTTGGGATATAGTTATCTTAGCATTGAAATATCCCTGAGTTACTACTTTCGGCAATTGTATAAATTTACAGTACTTAGTTCAGTGCAACCCTAATGGATTACACGTCTGGGGCTGCAACTACACAGTTGCAGGCTAACTACTTGGGGGTGATTGGTTAATAGAACTCCCAGCCCATGACAAGTAGTTTAAAGGGTTGTACCATGATGTCAACACCTTACTTCCCTTCTGCAAACTACTAGTAGGTTCGGGTGACAGCTTGGGCATGCTGTAGACTTCTTGCAGCCTATATTTTGTCAACCATCAACCCCTTAGACGGCTTAAGCACTGTTTTTTTCTGAGTTCCCCTGGGCCTCACAAGGTAATTGAGGGAGGTGGTTCAACATTTTTTGCATTATTACTATCTGGTGGTCCTTCTACCTACGGTTCTTTTGTAATACTGAGGTGATGGGGCTGTACCGCCCTTTTTATTTTAATTGTGGATGATGTGTTTCCTGTTTGGGTGGGTGGATTCTCTCTCTCAGATGCTGCCCTGGAAGATTCCTGGAAAAGAAGTTACCAGGTACCTAACTTGCTTTTTTATGATTTGCTAATATATATAGCAGCTTACAAGGCCGGCCGGGAGCTTTACATTCAAGCGATCGGTTGTATTAGTTGTCACTGCCGTTGCCGGTCCCGAGATCTGCTGTGCCCGATGCGGCTGGGACCGGCACGGCTCTGTGAACAGGAGATCAAAGGGAGTTCAGTATACGAATTCCCTTTTGATCTCCTCTCGGTCCCCGAATGCAAGAAGTGATGTATATTACATCACTTCCTGCATTCAGTGTCACTCTCCAGTCCCCGATGTCTTCATAAAGAGGATCTGCCATGTAAATTGGCTATCACATAGTGGGCTTCTTAGCCCCCCGTGTAATAGCAATAAAGTTGTGTGTAAAAAAAAAAAAAAAAGTAATACTAAAATTTAAAGGAGAACTATGGGGTTAGGGCTTTTCCCCATAGTTCTCCTAAGGGTAACGGGAGGACACAAACTAGCGTCCTCCCATCACCCAAAGCTCAGTATCTTGCGCTATACTGAGACGCTGAAACGGATCCCGATCATTATATCTGGATCCACCCAGCTGCGTGAGTGACAGCTGTCTCTGGCTATCTAGAGGCAGAGCCAGCTGTACCCGCCGCGTCCGTTCCTCCAGTCAGCGCTGGAGGATCGGACAGGGGAGGGGGGAATCCAGTCCCTCCCCTGTCACGGCTCTCTGCAGTGACAGGATGGAGAAGTGAGCGAGCACCGGCATGTGTTCGCTCACTTCCTGATCTACTGAGCCGACCTGTGACCCGTTTCATTGTCACAAGTCAGCTAGAACTATGAGGATGAGTGTAAAGCACTCACCTAGTACGTTAGTTCTTTAAAGAATCATAACAGCGCAAGCCTACTCTTGCATACATGCCTTCGTATGCCCGGAAACGCTTGCCTGAAGTTTATCTCTCGCTACTAGTTGCTCTGATACACGAAGCCCCACAGTCCAACAGTGTACTTTCAGCCTGACTACATTTTTGTACTGCCTGTGCTCCTGGTATACATCCTACCGCTCAGATAATACTATGAAGGTAGCAGTAGTAGTTTGACGTGTGTTTTGGTCGAGCCAAACTACCCTGTGACCGCATTGTGTACACTGTGACTCATGTATGTATATATCTATATATGATATCCTACACCCCAGATTTGCTCCGGGATGTTGTTATGCTGTTGAGGCAATTGCCTCCCTGTACCGCTGTACCATGCATATGTACAATAAAGTTGACTTCTGATTTTTTTTTTTTTAAATGAAGCATAAAAAAATTTAAAGAAAAGAAAAAGAAAATATTATTTTTTAAGTCCCCGCCCCCCACATACACGTCGGGTGCGCCTATGTGCGAAAACGACGATTGCGCCTATTGTGCTGCACATGTTCATATCGCCGCAAACGTCGGAGTGAGAGCAATCATTTTAGAGCCATTAATCACTGATGGGCAGTGAAAGCGTTTTGATCATCGCCTATGGGCGTTTTTGCGGGCGCACGCAATTTTAAGGCTTGACATGTTTGGTGTCTATTTACCCGACTTTTATGTTTTACTAAAAATATGGGTAAGAATAAATGTTTTATAGCATAACGTAGGGAAACTTTTTTTTTTTTTTAAGAAAACTTGGTATCAAATGCCATACAAAAGGTACAGTGATCACCATAGAAGGACCAAGGTTCAGCTCGAAAGCGGAAAGTAACATGTTTCGTCTTTGGGGTGCTGATGTTATCAATATGACCACTGTTCCAGAAGTGGTCCTGGCAAAAGAAGCTGGGATCTGTTATGCCAGTGTTGCAATGGCAACTGATTATGACTGCTGGAAGGAACACGAAGAAGCGGTATGTCAATAGTATGGAACTACTTGCACATTACTGAACAGCGTACATGTTTAATTTGTTCACTGTATACTAGTTATGATTTATGGACGTAAGAGATTCTGAAAGGAAAATATAAACTAGATATGGAATAAGCAAAGTAAACTTGCACTGGATTTTCCTCAATATTGTGGCTAACATTGAGGGGAATGATGTGCTAAGCCAGTGGTAGCGCACCTATGGCACGCAAGCCCAGGTACGTATAAACATAGGGGCCACCCCTGACAATAGGTCCAACCGTCCCAGATTGCCTTAGTATGCGATCTGGGCCGGTCACAATCGGGCAGTGGCGGCCTCTAAACAGGCATATTAGACAGCCGCTTGCTCCTTGCTAGGAACCCGAGAGGCCCCGGCAAGTGGCCATCTAATATGCCTGTTCAGAGGCCGCCGCTGCCTGATTGTGACCGGCCTGGATATCATACTGAGACGATCCAGGACAGTCGGACCTATTTTAATTAGAGAGCCGCAGCTGCCCTCCAGACCCGAGAGACCCGTACAGCCACCCTGACAGTCGCACAGCCCCCCTAAGAGCCTGCTCAGCCCTCCAGAGACCCTGGAGACATCAGGCCGCCACTCCGCAGCAATACAGACTATGTTGCTTCATATTATTCTGCATTGCTGTATAATTTATTGCTGTGATTTGCAGTCCTCTATAGGTGAGGGTATTCTGCATTGCTGTATAATGTATTGCTGGGATTTGTTGTCCTCTCTAGGGGCGCAGCTGCAACTGGGCCCTGGTGCTCCACCACGGACTCCAAGCTGTAGAGAGACTGTTCCCTTGCAGTTTGAAGTATTTTTCTAAAATAAATCAGTATTCGAGTCTAATTGCAGGGTTAGTACTTTGAGACATATAAGTTGGTTTAGCGATCTAGTTTGGGCACTCGGGCTCAAATAGGTTTACATGTTGCAGCCTGATAGTACAATTGTTTAACCACTTGCTGACCGGGGTGTTTATACCCCCTTCCTGACCAGGCCATTTTTCAGTGTTCAGAGCTGCAGTACTTTGACTGACATTTATTCCGTCATGCAACACTGTACTGAAATTAATTTTATACCATTTTTTGGGGACAGATAGAGCTTTCTTTTGGTGGTATTTATTCACCACTACGGATTTTTTTTTTTTTTACTGTATAATAAAAAAGTACAGACTTTTTTTTTAGAAACCTGTTCTCCCTACGTTATGTTATAAAACATTTATTATTACCCAATTTTTTGGTAAAATATAAAAGACGGGGTCACGTCGGGTAAATAGACACCAAACATGTCAAGCTTTAAAATCACAAAAAACTACCATATTTAAAATTTGACCACAGGCGACGATTTAAAGGCTTTTACCGCTCATCCGTTTAGTGTTATCAGTGATTGATTACCCTAGAATTATTGCTCTCATTCCGACGTTCGCGGCGATATGTAACGTGTGGCGCAATAGATGTAATCTGCGTTTTCGCACGTAGACAGGCTTGACGTGTGGGGGCGGGGGACTTTTATTTTTATTTTTTTATTGCTTTGATATGTGACTTTTTTTTTAATTAATTTTTTTTGTAACACTTTTTTTAAACTTTTTTTTCACTGAACTTTATTGCTATCACATAGGGAGCAAGCAAGCTCCCTATCTGATAGCCAATTTGCAGTGACAGGTCCTCTTTATGGAGACATCAGGGGTCTTAAGACCCCTAATGTCACCTAGGGACCCCCAGAGAAGCTGATGAAGCAGAGACCTGCTTCACCAGCTTCTCTACGGTTTCTGTACCGAAGAGTGACACTGAATGCAGGGAGTGATGTAATACACATCACTCCCTGCATTCAGAAGAGGAGAGGAGATCAAACGGCGCTCGTGTACTGAGCTCTGTTTGATCTCCGGCCACAGAGCGGGCACGAGCGGAACGGGATAGGACGTCTAAAGACGCCCTCGAAGCCGCTGTCCGGCCGTTTAATTACAACAGCCATTAGTTAAATGTTTTGGGTTTTTTTGTTTTTTTTTTCTCATTAATCTACACTCAGTACCCCATACTGACAAAGTGCAAACAGACTTTTAGAAATGTCTGATTTTATTCAAAAGCAAAAACTGAAATATCACATTGGCATAAGTATTCATACCCTTTGCAACAACACTTGAATTTTAGGTCAGGTATTTATTTCCAAATATTTACTGTTGCCATGAGCATGATGTTGCCACAGGTGTACTCCAATCAAGGTGTAGAAACATATCGGCAACCATCAAGAGAAATGGTAGGCACCTAAATTTCAAGTGTTGTTGCGTAGTGTCTGAAGGATGAGTTCATTTTCAAGCCCTGCAGATTAATCTGATCAAAAATAAATTCAGATCGTGTTTAGAGACTGAAAGCTTAGATGACCTTATGGTGAATCTAAATGGACCTCCACTACCACAGTTTAAACCTACTAAAGCCATCGATAAATGCTACTTCAGTGCTAAAACTACCAGGCAAGGACACAAATGCTACTCCTCTGACAGCAGTGCATTTTCTACTAAGAAGTCATAGGCGAATACTCTGTAAGTAATACAATTTATTTTGGTTTTGAATGCATTATGTAGAAATAAGTGCCTAGTTTAAATTAACATAAATTGCAAGGCTATAGTCCGGTCATGCTGACTGGTGAAACACCCTAAAATTTCTCAAGCCCTGTGTATCTGAGCAAAAGCCATGAGGTCAAAGGAACAGCCTGCAGAGACAGAATAATTGCAAAGCACAGAACTTGGGAAGGCTACAAAACAAATTTCTGCTGCACTGATGGTTCCCAAGAGCACAGTGGCCTCCATAATTCACAAATGGGAGAAGTTTGGCACAACCAGGACTCTTGCAAGAGCTGGTCGTCTGGCCAAACTGAGCAATCGGGGAGAAGGGCCTTAGTAAAAGAGGTGACCAAGAACCCAAGGATCACTCTGACTGAGCTCCAGAGATCCTGTGACGGGATGGGGCAAAGTTCCAAAAGGACAACCATCACTGCAGCCCTCCACCGATCTGGCCTTTATGGCAGAGTGGCTAGACGGAAGCCTCTACTCAGTGCAAAACACATGAAAGCCTTGCTTGGAGTTTGCAAAAAAGAACCTAAAGGACTCTAACTGTGAAGAACAAGATTCTCTGGTCTCATGAAACCAAGATGGAACTGTTTGGCCTCAATTCTAAATTATCTGCAGGAAACCAGGCACCGCTCATTACCTGCCCAATACTGTCCCAACAGTGAAGCATGTGGTGGCAGCATCATGCTGTGGGGGTGTTTTTCAGCAGCAGGGACTGGGAGACTGGTCAGGGTTGACGGAATGCTGAATGGAGCAAAGTACAGAGATCCTCAAAACCTGAAAATGGCTGTCCACTGACTTTCCCCCATCAAACCTGACTGAGCTTGAGAGGATTTGCAAAGAATGGCAGAAAATCCCCCAATCCAGGTGTGCAAAGCTTATCACGTCATACCCAAAAAGACCCAAGGCTGTAATTGCTGCCAAAGGTGCTTCAACAAAGTACTGAGTAAAGGGTCTGAACTCTTAAGTACATGTGATATTTCAGTTTTTTCTTTTTCTTAAATTCAGACATTTCTAAAATTCAGTTTTCACTTTGTCATTATGGGGTACTGAGTGTAAAATAATGAGAGGAACATAATTTAAACAACTGTAGAATCAGGCAGCAACATTGAAAAAAGTGAGTCTGAATACTTCCTGAAGTGTGTGTGTGTATTTTCTTTTTCATGGTCACAAAATTGCCCACAGTTTATCAAATACAAAGGAAATTGGATAGATAAAATAAATAGCCAGTAGGTGGTGCACTAAGCCTAACTAAAAATGACTAGGATGCACTCAAAGGTATAATCAACTGAAATGGAACAAATAGAGACGTAATGGACAATGTTACATTAGAAGATGGTGTAAATTAACAAAATGTGTGACTCTTGGTTGATAGTTGTGTGAATCTTTGTGTAAGACCTTTATTTCACAAAATGCAAGATAGACCCCGCCTATAAAATACATAGGGCATTTATCAATTCTGTCTTCCAGCAAGGCAATGCTAAACAGGAGCATGGAGATTCCTTACAAAGTTACAGATTGATTGAATCAGTAGCCCTGTGACAATGAATTCTGACCCTGACCACCTTTTAATTATGAGTGCTTAGAGTGGAAATTGTGTCTCCAGAACGTTGCTAATCTGTTGCAGTTGGCTGTTGAGAATTCCAGATGTTCTATATGAGAAGCAACCTGATTTATATCTAATAGTCTTTAAAGGAGAACTATGAGGTGAGTGATTTCCACTCACGTCATAGTTCTAAGCCGACCTGTGACAATGAGACTGTCACAGGTCGGCTCAGTAGATCGGGAGGTGAGCGAACACATACCGGGTTCCCTCACCTCTCTATCCTGTCACGGCTCTCTGCCGTGACAGGGGGAGGGGCTGGATTCCCCTCTCCCCGCTCCGATCTGCCAGCGCTGACTGGCGGAACGGACGGGGGAGGGGGCGGGTACAGCTGGCTCTGCCTCTAGATAGGCAGAGCCAGCTGTCACTCACGCAGCTGGGCGGATCCCGTCATCTAAGTCGGGATCCGCTCCAGGTGCGGCGTCTCAGTATACCGCGAGCTGTAGCTCGCGGTATACTGAGCTTAGGGTGACGGGAGGAGGCTAGTTTGTGTCCTCCCGTTACCCCAAGGAGAACTATGGGGAAAAACACTGACCCCATAGTTCTCCTTTAATTTACTTGGTAAAGGTCACCCATATTAATGCATAGTTTGGCCATTGCTTTTCTACATTACATTTGTGCTCTCCCTATCTGATTCTTGAAGCTCTTATAGTTTACATTTGTGCATTCTGCATTTGAGTGGAACAATTTAATGAATAATCTAAGAATTAATTTTCCCTTTATTATCTGCAATGTGTACTTTTGTATTTTTTTTTTATTTTTTTTGCACTACACATTTCTTCATTATTGACCACTTTGTCCCCTGGAGTATATTTTTGTGCACACTACTCCCTGCAGAACGGCCTGTTTGCTGCCCCATTTGTACTTGGAGGACGTGCCTGTGTGTGCGTGTCTGGCACATGCAGAAGCTGATGCTTTTGCTGTCATTAAAGGAGAACTATGTGGTCAAGTCTTTTCCCCATAGTTCTCCTTAGGCTAAAGGGAGGACACAAACTAGCGTCCTCCCGTCACCCTAAGCTCAGTATACTGAGACGCCGCAGCTGAAGGGGGTCCCGACAATTCTGTCTGGATCCGGCCAGCTGCGTGAGTGACAGCTGGCTCTGCCTATCTAGAGGCAGAGCTAGCTGTACCTGCCCCCTCCCCCGTCCGATCCGCCAGTCAGCGCTGGCGGATCGGAGGGGGGAATCCAGCCCCTCCCCTGTCACGGCAGAGACCTGACAGGATTGAGAGGTGAGAGAACGCCGGTATGTGTTCGCTCACTTCCCGATCTACTTAGCCGACCTGTGACAGTCTCATTGTCACAGGTCGGCTAGAAGTATGAGGTGAGTGAAAAGCACTCGCCTCATAGTTCTCCTTTAAACAGAGGACAGCATTGACTTCAAGCGCAAAGCCAAGTCAGACTGGCTATGCGCCTTGTTGCTGTGATTGGTTATCACAGAGATCACATGACAGTGTTTCAATTGTCAAGCCCTCCTCTACCCCTTGCATCAGAGGCAGAGGAGGGTAAAGGAACAATCAACGAGCAAGTCATCCATTCATTAGTTCTTGTAAAAACATCTCTGCTCTGATGTTTTTATTAACCCCTTCACCTCCCTTATCCTGCACATTAACCCCTTAATATCCTCCCACTGTATGTAATCTGTACACTGACCCCATCACCTATGCCTCCCTCTGTGTACTGTATATCCTGTAGATTTAATATATCTAGGGTGCCATTACCTGCTCCATGTATTAACCCCCTCAATACCTGCACATTTCTTCATTTACAAAAATATTGTGGCAAAAAAATCAGATCATCTTGGTGTCTATTTTCTAAAGAGAGGACATTTCAAGAGTTAATTTTGTCTCACAAATTATATAACAATCATTTGGTTTCATTGTTGCATGGTGGAGTAATTCTCAGTGAAACTTTCACAGCATTGAAAACTAAAATGAAAGGGGCTTAACATGCCAGTACTAAAGTGGTTAAAGTCTGCATTTGTGGGTAAAAAAAAAAAAAAACCCAAACCTTGAATATTTTTTTAAAGCAGCGGCCCTGTAGAATAAAAAGATAGTGGTGCTTGTAATTTATTTACTTTTTATTATAAGTATATATATATATATAGTGCCGGCAATTTATGCAGTGCATATTCACACCAGTCCCTGCCCTCAAGGAGCTTACAATCAAAGGTCCATATCTCGCATGCATAAATACACCACACAACACACCAGTTTAGACAGGAGACAATTTACCTTCCCACATTTGCAGTGTGGGGAAAAAAAACCCACACAAGCACAGTGAGCACATGCAAATGCCATGCAGATGGTGAACTTACTGGGATTCAAATCTGGGACCCCTAGTACTACAAGGCAGAAGTGCTAACCACTAAACCACTGTACTGCAATTTTTTTTAGGCAACAGTTTATTAAACCTATATTTTCAGTAAAATGCAATAAAATTAATTTTAGCAAAACATCTCCATTTTTTTGTACAAAATAAAAGGTGAATTTGTGTAGAGTAAATATGCTAAGGCTCAAAAATGTATGCCTCTGCGAAAATGTATAGTACCTAAAATGTATTTGTAAAGCTGGCCATACACCTATAGATTTCCTGTAGGTGGCTAGACAGCCTCACTGGCTGTCAAAATACCTTAGCAATCTCATTGGATGCAGGCATTGTTCAGGAGTTTTGAGAGCCAGCGGGGCCGACAAGCAAGATACTGAAGCTTGGGCCAGTGGGAGATTCCTCCATCCACACAGTTTAGCGTAGATGGGGGAATCTGTTGCACTTTTTCCATCTGACTATAGAAAATCTGCAGATAATCTGTAGGTGTATGGCCAGCTTTACAATTTTTAAAGTGTATTTCCAATTTGCAGTCAGAAGTGAGGAAAACCCCTCTATGTTTTGCTATGTGTTCCTATTCTTGCAGCATACCGAAAAATAATAGAATAATAAGAAAATATTTCTTACCTTTTTTTTAGATGTTTTGTTGCAGCAGGTAACATGGCTGATTCCAGGTTTTTCTGAGCACCTTCACAGTGATGTCCCTTGAGAAAGACTTGGGACTGAAATTTGAGGGTTGTGTTTTTTCTTTCATTCATTTCATTAATATTTGAAAGCAGAAGCCAGGGTGGTAACCCTTACAACTCCTCCTAACATTACATAGAAGGCAAATCAAGTAGAATTTTTAATGTTTTAAGAAGCCAAGAAACCTTAACCCAAAAAATGATTTAACCTCAAGAAACAAGTTTTTTAAATTATTTTTTTTAGCTAATGCTGTTTGAATAGCAGCATATAACAAATCTAAAATTGGTGTTAGCCTAAACGGATATGCTGAAAAAGCAATTAGTGTGTTTTCACTTTTGCAGCCAAATTAGGATCTGTTATTACCCTATCTGGAGCAGATCGGCAAACAAAGTGCAGTGTGTTTTGCCGCGATTTTGGTGCATTTGTTTTTTGTTTTTGTTTTTTTTACTTCTAGCTTAAAATTGTCCTTCAGGTGCGTTATGTGCATTTTTGCTGCGTTTTGTGCGTTCCAGACCAGAAAAATGAAAGACCTGCAGTATTTATTTTTTCGGTCTGGAATGGAAAGCACTGTAAAAGTGTGAACTGTAGCCCAGAAATCACTTAGGGGTACGTTGGGATGCGTTTATGGTCCAGGAGCTAACTGTTCTGGTCCGGAGAGAATCTGTACATCGTGTGAACAAGCCCTCAGATCAGTAAGAAAAAAATCCAAAGCGCCAATAATGACCAACAGATGAAAATGAAGTGCAAGCGAGGATAACTAGGGGTGCTGCCCCACTTCAGCCTGGGAAGCTGCAACACTATGGGAGAAAAGCCCTCAGATCAGTCACCCAGATCACTTTTTCTAAATCACTCTCAGCTTGCTGATGAAAATAGGAAGAAGCTTGCAGCTGCATTTAACTATTTCAAGGTGGGATGTAGATACGTCCAAAATGCTGAAGTGGTTAACGTATAATTGGCTAGCAAACAGTAGATACATGCCCCATGATTAAACAAAACCAAAAAAAATTGGGCAGATGCCTAATTACTTACCTGTTCCAGTGCTGGCTGAATCTCCCGATCGGCTGAAAGGAAGTAGTGTGTGGGCACATGCGCAGTAGAGCGTGAGGAGAGTAAATTAAGCTCAATGGATGCAGCCGGGAGCGCGCACACCGGACAGACACCGTGGGGCACAAGGAGTCTGCTTTGGATCAGAGACCAGCGCTGGAGGCACTGTCAGAAACGAGTGGAAGGAAGATGATAATCGGATCGAGAGGCATTGAATAAGGTAAGTGCTTACAGCAGCATTTGAGGGGGAAGCTTTAATAATCATTTTAAGCACCATGTATATCGTATAAGGAAACGAATTATGAAAAATCTGAATGCCCCTATGGGTTATCTAATTTCGTAGTATTTTCACTGTGGTTGCCAAATTAAATAAATGATTTAAGAAAACATTTGTAAATAGTTATTTACAAATTATTAGAGTAAAGATACCACTATGGCTTTCATTATACCGGATACCCTTTGAAAGGCAACAGTTTCTGCTTTGAAAGAGGATTTGTTTTGTCTATATGAAGATAAGTTACTACTGTATTTTGGATTCTCCATAATGAATGATTTTAACAAAGGTATTGTATATTACTACTTTGGTATTTAAAAATGTCTTGTTTTTACCTGCAGGTGTCTGTTGATAGAGTGCTAAAAACATTAAAGGAAAATGCTAATAAAGCAACTAGTATTTTTCTAACTGCCATCCCACAGATTGCAGCCATGGACTGGTCTGATGCTCTTCAAAGTACAAAGGTACTGCTTTATAAGAATATAATTTGTATTCCATTTGTGTAAGTTGTTTAAACGTGTTAAAGGGTATGTATAATCCATTTTTGTTTTGTATGTGTTCCTAGTGCATGCATGTTTTATCTCGCTGATAAACATGACATTTTAGATATGTCCTTTTTTTTTTTTTTTTTTTTTTTTTTTTTTAAATTTTTTTCAAATATATGTACCTCTATAGTCAGGCGACTGGATGCATTACCCTTAATAAATGCAGCAGCCGGCGCCAACATGGCCACTGCCCTTGTTGGATGGAGCATGTTAATGTTGCACACTAGCTGCAGCTTCCTGAACTCGTATTTATAGTCTTCCAAATCCGTATTTTAGTAGAGAAGAGAGAGACACCAAAGGGCACATCGGTTGGTTTTGACAAATCCTACAGATAAGTCTCACTCATGTAACAAAGGTCAAATACAGCACTACTGAGGACCAGAAACTAAAATGCTTAGGAGAATGAGGCATGGGGAAAATTACATTTCAGCTTGTAAAAAACAGTGAATTTGAATATTGCACAGATTGATTTCTTTCCTTCGCCTGTATCAATCAAGCTAATATGCAGTCCACTACCTCCTGGCTCCTTCTTTTGTGCTGAGTGAGATAAAAATTTTACTGATTACTATGTGATAAAGTGGAATCTTGTCCACGCTGATGGCAGGTGTGCGTTTCATACAAAAAGGAAGTCCTAAACATTCTGCAAGTGGAATCTTGTCCACACTGATGGGAGGCAGGCGTTTCATACAAAAAGGAAGTCCTAAACCAGTGGTGGCAAACCTTGGCACTCCAGCTGTTTTGGAACTACAAGTCCCATGAGGCATTGCAAGGCTCTGACAGCCACAGAAATAACTCCCAGAGGCAGATGCATGTTGGGATTTGTAGTTTTGGCACAGCTGGAGTGCCACCACTGTCCTAAAACGGTCTGCAAGTGGAATCTTGTCCACACTGATGGCAGCCAGGTGTTATATAAACTGCTCAAAAAAATTAAAGGAACACTTTGAAAACGCATTAGATCTCAATGGGAAAAAATATCATGCTGGCTATCTACTGTATACTGGACTGGGTAATGTGTTAGGAACAAAAGGATGCCACATCGTTTGATGAAATGATGCAGCAGTCTAGTCCATTGAGTCCATTGTGCTAAAATTTCATTGCAGCAACTCAAAATGGTACTCATTAGTTTGTATGGCCACCCACGTGCTTGTATGGATGCCTGGCAATGTCGGGGCATGCTCCTAATGAGACGACAGATGGTGTCCTGGGGTATCTCCTCCCAGATCTGGACCAGGGCATCACTGAGCTCCTGAACAGACTGAGGTGCAACCTGGTGGCGTCAGATGGACCGAGACATAATGTCCCAGAGGTGTTCTATTGGATTCAGGTCAGGCGAGCGTGGGGGCCATTCAATTGTATCAATTTCTTCATCCTCAATGAACTGGCTGCATACTCGTGCACCAGGAGGAACCCAGGACTCACTGCACCAGCGTAGGTTCTGACGATGGGTCCAAGGATTTCATCCCGATACCTAATGGCAGTCAGAGTGCCATTGTCAGCCTATAGAGGTCTGTGCGTCCCTCCATGGATATGGCTCCCCAGACCATCACTGACCCACCACCAAACCAGTCATGCTGAAGGATTTTACAGGCAGCATAACGTTCTCCACGGCTTCTGCAAACCCTTTCACGTCTGTCACATGTGCTCAGGGTGAACCTGCTCTCATTTGTGAAAAGCACAGGGCGCCAGTGGTGTACCTGCCAATTCTGTAGTTCAATGGCAAATGCCACTCGACCTCCACGGTGCCGGTCAGTGAGCACTGGGCCCTCAGGCCACCCTCCATGAAGTCTTTCTGATTGTTTGGTCAAAGACATTCACACCAGTGGCCTGCTGGAGGTCATTTTGTAGGGCTCTGGCAGTGCTCATCCTGTTCCTCCTTGCACAAAGGAGCAGATACTGGTCATCCTGATCGGTTAAGGACCTTCTACGGCCCTGTCCAGCTCTCCTAGAGTGACTGCCTGTGTCCTGGAATCTCCTCCATGCTTTTGAGACAGTCCTGGGAGACATCTCTTTGACCTTCTGGCAATGGCACGTATTGATGTGCCATCCTGGAGGAGTTGGCATGCATGTGCAACCTCCTTTTTAGTGTCCAGGTATCGCCTCATGCTACCAGTACTGACACGGACTCTAGCTAAATGCAAAACTAGTAAAAAAGTCAGAAAAGATGAGTAGGGAACACAATGTCAGTGGCCTCCACCTGTAAAACCATTGCTGTTTTGGAGGTTGTCTCATTGTTGCCCATCTAATGCACCTGTTGTTAATTTCATTAACACCAAAGCAGCTGAAACTGATTAATAACCCCCTCTGCTACTTAAAGGTGGCCATACACTCTACAACCATCGCAAGACTTTAGTCTTGCGATGGTTGTACAGGGATTAAAAAAAACGTACGATCTGCCTATCTTGGACAGGCAGATCGCACTCTCGATCATTCGCAAGCCCGCCCCCTTGAGGGGTGGGCTTCCGATGACCGCAATGCTGAACGGGCGCACACCGGCCCGTTCGGCATTTGTCTTCCGAGCACCGTTCTAACCAGCCGAGAATCGTACGATTCCCGGCTGGTTTTCGAACATGCTGGTTCGACAGAAGACGTGCGACCGTACAGTAGAAACGGTCGCACGTCTCCGTTCACACTGCTCGATTATCGTATGAAAAACTGATTGCATACGATTATCGTACGATAATCGTGCAGTGTATGGGCACCTTAACTGTTCTGATCAATATCCCAGGAGTTTAATTGACTTCATGCCATACTCTGATTAAAAAGTGTTCCTTTAAGTTTTTTGAGCAGTGCACAAAAAGGAAGAGCCTACACAGTCTGAGCAGCTGCTGCATGTGACCTGCGTCTCTTGTCAGTGTTTCCTTCTGGCTTTCATAATGGGAAAGTTTACTGCTGTAAACGTCGTTATGGATGCACATAAATTCAAGTATTTTTGTGAGTACATGGATGTTTTTATACAATAAAAATTCCTTTTTATTATACAATATTACATGAAGGAAAGGCACCTCCTTTTTCTTCCTTCCATCCCTGGTGAAGTGGTTAGTGATTATATCGTGGGCCAAGTGGTTTCTCCGGTTGCTGTTTGCGCTGAATGTTTTATGTGAAAGATTTATACAGGGCAAACTTTTTTTTTTTGTAAGCATATTCTTGCTAAGAAAATCAAAATTATATTTTATGGAATGGCTAACTCGCAAATATATTTGCCTCTATGGTGTTGGCTATAAATCGCTAAAGGAGTGTGATTTGCAGCAGAGCACCCCAACCCAATACTGTGGCTGTAATGTAGTTTAGCTTCTAGTAGTGAAAATCTGTTCTTGGTGACAAATCACCACTATTTCTAGTTATTTAAATAGCCGCTAATCTCTGGCATTAGCGATTTTTGTAGGAGCCATAAAAGAGGGACTGGCCCGTGTGGGTTCACATCAAGCAATTTCCTGACTTTCTATCCTACCTTTAATGGACCATGTCACATAACCGCAAGAAGAAACACCTGCTCCTCAATGGCTTGAATGATAGGAGTGATGCTGGTTTTCCTTCTCCCCCTCTCCTCTTTCTTTGTTCCCTCTTTATCCTCTTGCCCCAAATCCTTAATTTCCTGATCATTTCCCTCTTCGGTTTCCTTTTTATTTCATGTTAAATGTGACGATACACTCTTCAGTGTAATGCCTTCTTTTTTTTTCGTGTGTGTGGCACAGAAGCTTCATATACAGTATTTACTACCTACATCTGTACTGATCAGACCATATCATACAAAATAGAAGGGGGGGAAAGTATCTTTATTTTATAGGTTTGTCGCATGCTGTTAAGTATTTTGTGCCACAATGTCTAAGTATCCTATTTTTCATTATCCAAACATTGTTTACTGATTTGTATAACTATGTTGGATGTAAATTTTATGTTTTTCACATTTATGGAAAAATAAACCTACCGTTAAACATTAAAGTAACCCTAAACTCAGGAGTTAAATCTTAAAAATGCATTCACGTACCTTCACTATTAACAAAACTGTATCTTATTTGTGTATCACTCAGCTGTAGATCCTCAAATCATCTCTGAATTGGTGCCGACACTATCCTTCCTTCTGGAGGATGGCTAGAAGTAGCCACCGCTCCAAATTCTCTTCCCCAATGGACTACAATCTCTTGCTTGGTTTACTAATTTGTACTAAGCTATTAGTCTATCACTGGAGTGGTGACTACTGTACTACACACACATGGACCATGGAACAAAAGTAGCCCCCCTCCAGAAGGAAGGACAGTGATTTTTGTTAATAGGGTACTTTAATGCATTTTTAGAGTTTAACTCCAGAGTTTGTCACTTTTAAGAGGAACTTTGCTCCACCCCTTGGATTTTTTTTAATTTTTCTTAACCCCCTCTTACCTTTTGTGCACCATTGCCCTCAATTCACATACTCACCCGCAGCGCAAATCAAGTGTTGTCCTGCTGCAGTCTGCTGTTCAGATGATACAGTCCAGGTCCTGTTTCACCATTCTGGTGAGCCCCAATTATCAGGAGCTGACAGTCTCCTCTAGGTTCATGTAACCAGACCCCCAATGATGCACATAGCCCCGCCTACTGGCTGCTTTGTGTCCCCACTCCTGCAGCCTCTTGGGATATCCCAGGAGGCTGCGGTATCGGGGCACATCATTCTCACCTAGCCAAGAATGGCGGTGGGTTACAAGGCCAGAATTAAAGAAAGATTTGGTAAACAACAAAAAAGTTGTATTCTTTTTTAAAAAAGGGGTGGAGAGTTGTAAAATTTTACTTCCACAAATATCCAAAATTGTTGGCAAATGTGAATCACAGTTTGACACTTTTTTTGCTTTCTGCTTACAGAAAATGGTTGAAATGTCAGTCATGTTGCCGAAACATTGATGGTATACAGAAGCTGAAGGAGGCATCTTCTCATCTTGATCACATCTCTAGATGACTAATACATTCTTGGTATTCAACATAAGCCTATAAAGCATTTTCTTTGTAGTACTTGATAACCGCACGCATAAGTAAAATGTATGCTCTGGGCTTGCAATACTGTCAATTAAGTTATCTTGTATTGGGGGGGAAAAAAGCAAGCAACAACATAAAAAAACAAAACTGAAGTGTCTATAATGAAATATTTTGTAGTGCAGTACAAGGAAAGCTGTCGTGAACTAAACACACAGTCTTCCATTTCTGACTTCCTTCTAAAAATGTAATTTGCCTAGACACTGTACACCTCTGAGGTCTCTGACCCAGAACAATGAGAGGGAGCTCTAACTTTACTTCATTCTTGTTCCAGGTCATTGACTAAAAGCATTGAAGCCAGAGGATTAGCTTAAATGACCATATCACAAGATCTTACATTCCTGGTTTAGCATATTTGATGAATATAGATAATGTTGACTTAATATTTCTCTCAATATACCAATTCCTTTTGTACTTGCAGAGTAAACGCCTCTTTAATTTTGTGACACCTCTGACACTTGGGGTGTTTTGTAGTCTTCCTCGAACGCTCACAGATGTTCCCCATTCCTGCCTTGTACATTATTAGTTGAAGCAGCACCTGCATGTGAAGTCTTACAAGACACCATGAACTACGGAACTGCGAATGTGCGTCCGTGTGCAGGATTACTGAATAATGATGACAGTGAGGATTTTCACAAAACCCTTTAGGATAGAAAATCTGTAGAAATCGGATTAGACAGAACAATAAGATCCCCTTCACACTCATGAGCATCTTTTGTCGCATCACATTGAGCATGCCCATCCGCTTTCATGTTGACACCCATGTTGATGAGCCAAAAACGTGCTGCCTAGTTTTTTTTCCAGTGCACTACAATTCATCATGTGTTCTTTAATCCATACATTTCAGTACAATGAATGGAATGGGTGTTTTGTTTTTAACAGTGTTGTTATTATTATACAGGATTTACTGTATATAGAGCCAACAGTCTAATTTATCTGGTCATGCGCAATGAGGTGCCAAGAATGTTGTAGCTGTTAATGAGATACTGAACTTAGACGTTCCAAAGCAGTCAGGCAACTAACATTTTCAGAAGGCTGCAACAGATTCTGAAACAAATTAGGACACCTGTAGCACTTCAGTTTCTCTTGGAGGCAATGAATGATTGCAAGTTGTAGTATTAAACCATTCAAACTATACTTCTGGTTTCACCTAAGCCTTGCTTCTAGACTGTAATCCTGTAAATTACAGTAAATTTCTCATGTGCTTAGAGAGGGCACAAATACAAGATTGCACGCTTCTGCTAAAATGTTTTCTGCCCTTTTTATTGGCAATTCCTTTGCAAATGCTAATGGTACTTTACGTGCTTATTCCTGGATAGTAAGACAAACCCCCTACCCTACCCCAATACCCAAAGGACGTATCACCCACACACACAAATTATCGCTCGTA